AACGTGTTCTAACAGCGCAAGATAAGGGAGACCGAAAAGCAAAATTAAGTAGAAGTACCACCAACAAAAGTGTATTTATCTAAAAAAAGAGAATTATCCATAAGAACAACACGTGCACTCTTTCGTCCTAGGAGGAGTGGTACCTAGGAATAAAGCCCAGCTCTATTTCAGCCTCCATTAATAACTGCTCTCATCCACCTCTCCTTGTTATAAATACTTCAGTGCCTCCTGACAAGAACACTGAATCCATAACGAGCACGACATGCCAATTTGAGGTGGAATGAGACAGAAAGCTCGGAGATTTGTGATGTCAGGTCTAGCAGAAATTCATTTAAATTAGCGCACTGTTCAGATCAAGCAGCAGGCTCTGTTACACTCCTTTCTGGTACACCGCCTGGAAAGCTGGAGTACTGAGCAACTAGTGACTCAGAACCGCCGCAGACAGACACTTTATCGAGGAGACTGCTCGCTTAAAGTTTGCGGGCATTCTTCTGAGGTTCCAGAAACTCTCAGGATTTACTACCAGCTTCAGAGAGCCAGGATTCCCAGGTCTTAATTCCTTGTTCAGCACTGACACCACGTAACCCCGCACAAGTCATTTCAAGCCCCTGGCTTTTATATCTGGACTGCTCCACCAGTAAAAAAGAAAAGGACTTGATCATCTGCAGCTCACAAAGCACAGAGAGGAAAAGTACTGTGCAATGCTGTGCCTTCATCAGTATCCTCCGAGATACGCCACCTTTATATTTCATCATATTATTCTGAGCTTTCAGCAATGCAGAGGGAGGACGTGCCCGTGGCCATAAGATAACACAGTAACCACTAGCTCTCATGCAGCTCTCTTCTTTCCAATGGCAGGGAAACTGAGGCACCGCGATTTGCCCAAGGTCAACCCCCACGTCGGTAGCGGAGCCACAGCTGAAGCTGTATTTACTGACTTGCAGTCTTACACACGAAGCACCAAATGATGGTCTTCCTCGACGCACCTTTTAGTGCCTTTAACGAACTTCACCGAAAACGACAAAACATCAGCGAAAATGACAACCAAGTGCCTGAGCGCGTGCTACGTGTACCAGGTATTACAGCATTCCTTCTCGCCCCTGGACTCGGTACCTTCCGCTGTTTATGTTCTCCTCTCGCCTCTTGAACTTTTATTCACGCTCACCTGCTCCCAGCCGAGCGGGAGCCGCTGTTGGGAGCAGCCCAGGCCTAGAGCCACCCCGAAGGGTGAGCAAACGCAGCCCCCGCCGGAACACAGGCCCAGCCGGACGCTTCCCTGCGCCGCTAGCACCAAGGCAAGCCCGGCAGCGGCAGGAGCCAGGCCGGGCTGGAAACCTCCACCGCGGCTCCCGCACCTCCCCGCCGACC